GCCCAGAACACTGCTCTTGTCACACCCCGGAAAGTACATGGGATACGCCTGCTTCGCATATGTTACCAGACCTCACACCGTTGATATGCCTATTCTGGCTTCCGTCCCCATGCAACACGAGCCATAAAGTATCCATGGATATCGGGGTCGTTCATATCCCTCTTCATGTGACGGGCAAAAACTTTCGCCTCATCCGGAGTCCAACCAAGGACAGCATTCCATAGGTAGTTGATGTATCCTTGAGGGTATTGTCAGGATTAACTGGGTCAAAGCTCATCAAGGGAGTATTTTCGTCCAATCTTACCTTCAAGATCCGCTTCAACCGAAATCTTCCACCAAAGACCGATCTCCGCTGGTCCCTTCTCGGGGTGCCACACACCCGCTGGGACTTGAATATCCTTGAACTGAATATCAACGAACCCAGCAGCTTCCATACACTTCCGCTGAAGGTCCTCTTGATATACCGCAAACGTCCTTCCGAGTTTTTTACCACCCTCCCGGAACACTTTACACCATTGGTCGTAAGGACTGTCTTCCTTCACAGACCCGTTATCAGACAAGATGTCAGAACCCGGAACATAACTTTCAACGTAAGATCCAGGCTTAGCAACGCGATAGGCATTCCGAAAAAGGGCATACCAATCATCAACTACGCCGATAAGTGTACGCAAGTTGACAAAGTCAAATGTGTTCTCGGGCCAGGCCCATTCCCGGTTGCAGTCTTCCAGCTCGAACTTAACATTCGGAGGAACCCATGAAGGTTGAATAGGGGAGACATCTGTTCCTATAACCTCGGCATTAGGAAATTCGTCGGCAAAATCACTGAATGAGTAGGAAAGTTAGCATTGGAGGGTGCTGTGAGTCAACTCATCAAAGGATGGTCAAACAAAGGAAAAACGGCGCAAAGGACAAGACTTACATCGCCCATAGCCCAGAACCTGTCGCGACATCGAGTACCTTCTCAACCTTCTTTTTGTCGAGAGGTGATAGGTACAGCTTTCCTTCAAGCTGTAGCATGATCGCGTGATGCCTTCTCCGGTGGTTAGTGTTCTGCACTCGAAGGCAGGGCTTGGTTCTCAGATAATTGCGTAGATACTTACAGGATTTCCATCGCATCAACGTGGCGTTTATCATTGGGCTCCCACGCCTCGGCGTTACCGATTTCAGCGTGGTACGTTCTACCGTGGACTTCGCGGTACTGAAAAATGGTCGAGCTTAAGGAAACGCTAGTGGAGGTGACGGAGCCGATCGATGACGCTCCATCATCTATATCATCTTCGGGGATCTAAACGCATGTGCGGGTAGTTAGTAAATGCAACCCAACTTGACAACCAGGCTGTCAGAGATAGTTACCGGTTGCTCCATCCAATAGGTTGCAGGGAGAATGCCAGCTGCGTTTTGCGCCTCAGCACTGAGCGGCGTCAGGGCAGCTGGAGGTGCCGACGAGATCTCCTTGCCCTCGGGGCTCTTCGGGCTTTGAGGGCCTTGCGTGCTGGAACTCATCGTTATGACTACAGAAGTGAGAGCCAGGTCCGTTTGCGTTGGTTAGGAACCGAGAGCTAGAAGTCAGGAGCACTGGAGAAATTGTCTGGCTTTGTAACTGTTTTACTTGGGAAGGGTCGTTCGATAGGAATGATTTTTAACCAATTGATGAAGGAGTGACTTGCGAGAAAGGTTACAGTGTACAGTCTCTCTCAGGGTTGCGTTACTGTGAAAGACGCACAAGAAACCACAGATTCTTGGGGTTCCTTCCGGATACGGTTTTAGGGCCATGCAATTGGTGAGTTCGTGATGATACCGTGGAGGAATGGGTCGAATCTGACCAATCGACATACGCCAAACGTCGCTTCTATACGCAGCAGGACCTTAATAGCTCCATTTGTTATCCCTCTTTGAACATGACCGTCCGATGCATTCCAGGGCAATGATGGCCTGGTCAAGCTTCCTGTTACCAGACAAAATCGCCTGAAGAATGGTCGCGAAGCTGATGGGTCGGTTTGCTCCACTACTGAGCGCCAACCGTACCCGGTGATGTTTCCTTGTTAAACAGGCATCAGATCATTCGGACTCTAGCGACTGTGCAAGTCGAAGCAGGCACAGTAACCGCCAAGGCGTGGATAAACAGTTGACATCCGGCTGTCCATCAGCATGTAGGAGTTCCCAAACTTTCCCCTGCAGCAAAATACACTCTTCTACAGTGTAGGCTGCAGTTGCATCCCAAGCTGGTTGTGCCGCGGAGTGACAGGTCTGAAAAGGTATGTACACATGCGCGTTGCCTCCACCGCGGGATTAGTAGTAGGGAAAGATTTGATCCGATAAAGCTCAGGGTCTAACTCCAAGGCCCCGCTCGCCAAGTCGTGTCAGAGACATTCACGTGTCTGAAATGCGAAGGTTGGTGTTTATTAAGCTTTAGACTTAAAGACAATTTGGACATAAGCTATTGCTGATGATCGGATCGGGTGAACTCTGTCAATGGCGTATTGAACCAAATCAACGGCGCACATCAAGCGCTGGGACGGGAGGGACTCTGCCGCGTCTTTTTCAGTTGTTACCGCACCAAAATGAGAAGAAGAGAAAAGGAAAGAAGGAACGACGAAAAGACTAAACATGGATTGCCTTCCTTCCTCCCCTTTCTACAAGGCAAAGCCGGGAGGAGGAGAGTGAGAGCGAGATTGGAGAGGAGTGATTTTGCCCTTTCTTATGTCTTTTCCTTTGTTCTACAGGTCCTGCCACATACTGGTGGCTCGCTCACTGGGCGATTTGATTGGGGGTGTTGGGCCGCGTTTACGCTATGGGCAACACGTAATATTTACTGGCAATAGGCCTCGGTTTGCCCTCGGATTAATGGTTTTGGTGGTCAGTTAGGGCATTGCTCTTGATTTTGTATGTTAGGCTCACCGATGCGGCACGTCTCATGCCCTACGGGAGGCGGATGTAGACATTAAAATTAACAATTTAGAGGTTTGTTCGATCATATGACTACTCTTTCTACTGTCGACAAAATTACCACTATTTTGATCCAGGGTCAATCGGGGCAGAAGTACAAGCTCAATTCACTCATCCTCCCTCCATCTTCTCATCCGCCTCACGACCAGCACGTTCGGACAGCTATTTTGACCTCCGAAAGCTGTATCGTGGCAGAGGCGGCCAGCTGATTCAATCACATACTACCGTCGGACGGTCATCTTTTACCACCTCGCAAGACAATCAAGGTGTGGAATTGGCGGGTGGCTATCCTGCTAACAATCTTGATTCGCCAAAAGGCTTCGCTTCTGGTGCGTATACTTGCCCAGCGTCCAAATCTTTTTCTCCCAACTAATTTTGGTCCTAGCTTCCGCCCCTGGGCTCCCGAACGACACTGGTCCCAAAGCACCAAATGGTGAAGGTCTTATTGCGGCATCTTCTCCCTCCATGTCCCTGAACTTGGTTGCCATGTCAATAACACTGATATGGAGGCAATTATCACTTGGGAAGATCGTCACGGCTAATATCGTTACGGCCAATATCGTTACGGCCAATATCGTTACGGCCAATATCATCACGGCTAATATTGTCACGGCCAACATCGTCACACTCTGGATTTGACATTTGGGTTACATGTCGACACATCAAAACGAACAGCCCTGTTTTCACGCCATCACCATTACTCTGATCGCCCTCGACCTGGCCAATCCACCATTGGTTTGCTGATTTACCCCGAGGATATCGCTAATATCTCGCTCACAACGAATGATGCCACAAGTCTCGGTGTCGAATTACCTAGGTCGATCTACATTACAAATCGGCTCGACAAACCTTTTCGACTAGATCTCAAGATGACACGACCACTGCGTCTTTTTCCAACCACATACGATCGTCTCGAAGATTTATCCCCAATCTGGAAAGAAACGTTCTCTTCTCTCTGCCAAGCTTATTCTCTTTCGATTCATTTCTTCACGCAAGACATGGATTTTCACGTCCGGATCCGCTTCCTTCCCTCTACCATTTTACCTACTGAGCCCCGTTTTCAACTCAAAGCACTTAATCCCTATACTTTCTTACCCCAATTTTTTGATGGAGATAGCCTGGTTTTCTACCCAATTTGGCCGGGTTCTGGAAATTCTAATTCGTTTTCGGGGTACGAAAGTGACAACTTAAATCCGCTGCGCTCTGTAGGCCCTGATTTGAATTCGGGGTACGAAACTACCTAAGAAGAATTGCCACCGCCCGATACTACTACCAGTATATACCAAAACCCAATATCTTACATTACATACTGTATATACCTTATTTAACATTTTCCTAGCTAAAAAGCGTCGACGATCCGCGGAATACTCTTCCTCTTCTAGTACCAACGACAAGCCAAAAGTTCGCAAACTTGAAAGTCGTATCTGAAATCTTGAAAGGGAGTAATAGCCGACGCTCGTGTAAAATACCTTGAATTAAAGTTCGAGGATATACAAGCTTTGCTGGACAGCGGGTGGTGGTTGGAGAGGTTTCGGAAGCGATAACATAGAGGGGCGTTCAGTGATGGTTCATAGCCGAAAACAGATAATCCTCCGCAGCGCGCGCCCCGAGGCACAACTCTTTCCTGACGACGATGTGACTCGATGTGAGGATTCTTGTCTTGATTGATCCGGTGGCGCGCCCGGCATGGTTCTGAGGGACGGCCCAATTCGCAGGACTAGGAGGCTGAGTAAGGCTGGTGATTTTTGGTTCTATGATAGGTTTTTCGGTGAATGGCAGGGTTCGGTTGATGACTATCGGAAGCAGAGCCCTTCTTTCTTTTTTTTTTGCCGCACAACATTACCACCTAGGGTCGTGAGATAATTTTGACATAATGTGACTCTATCTACCATTGTTCCTCAAAGAATAACCTCAGCTTCCGTTTTAGCTCGTGAAGTTGGGATTAAGGTAGGCACTACTCAAGTGGAGACTTATGTGCTAACCGAATTTTGTAATAGTGGGAGACGGTAAATCCTCGATTCCCACCTTGGAGTTCAGTGCCCTGCTATTTCTCCCTTGCCCAAGCCTGAGCTGCGATCGCGTCGTGTTCTTGATGTAGTAGACCTGCACGCTAATTCCAAAGCTAGAAACGTTCGAAGTCAATATAAAGGATCCGAGTTGGGGAGAAGTGTACCAGAATGGTACGGCGCAGCAAGGCGGTTTTGATATCCAGGAATGTCTTCTCCTCGGCCGGAGTAGGTGGCATGAAGGAAAGCTTTTGCGCCCAGTCCCGCTGGTCGCACTTATTCTCGTAGAGTCTTTTGTTGGCTACTGAGTGGGTAGATGTGACAAGGGTTGTATTCAGGGCTTGGAACAGTAG